TCTCCTCCAAGGGTGCCATTTCCTGCCTTCTGCTCTGCGACTGGCACACTACACAACTCCGAACATAGTTAGTGACTTCTCCGTACAGTTTGGGCCAAAAGTACTTTCTTCCTATGAGATCACATGTCCTATCAATTCCCATGTGACCCAACCTTTCGTGGCACTGTTCCAATATCTCTGGTCTTAAACTTTTGGGCACATACAACTTGGGTTTGACTTCTTCATCCCTTCCTGAGAGATAATACAGCCTTTCCTCTATTATGGCATACTTGGTGGTCTCTCCTGCCTTTACCTTCTCTCTCAGAGCAGCTATTTCACTGTCTGCTTGCTCCTTTTCAATTCCTTCTGTTTGCTCTACTAGCTTCCTTCGTTCTTCCTCGAATCTCACCCGATTCAGAGTTCGTAGGGGAAGTGCTCTTCCTATCTCCTCCCCTCTCCTAACCTTTATAGTCTTTTGAGCTTGGTTCACCATCATAATGGGCACCAACTCGGCTGCCTCCACTACCGTTTCTTTGGGGGTTACCTCCGCTATCTTCTAGGCTCTTTCCTTCTACAGGGACCAACTGCAGAGGTCCTCTCCGTACCTTTTTTTCTGACATTAGCCTACCCTTTCCCGACACTGCGGTCCTAGGAGGTAACTTTACATCTTCCTCCACCACTATGGTTATCTCTTCCTCTGGTGGGCATCCCAATGGCGTTCTCTCGCCGTTCACCACCAACACAGTAGGATTAAACTCGATCTGGGCCTTCTGGCTCCGGAGCCAATCTTCTCCCAAGATTGCCTCTGTACACAGGTCGGGGGTTACGTAAAAATTTTGGGTGCTTTTCACCCTCCCAATCCTCACCGGGAGCCTCACCATCCCTTTTATCTCCAGGGGGGCTCCATCTGCCTGCGTGATCTCTATGTCCGCTTCCTGTAACCTTCTCTTCCATTTCACCCGCCTGTATGTTTCCTCTCTCATCAATGACACAGATGCTCCTGTGTCCACCAAAGCCCTCATCTCTCTACCACCTATCTCTGCTCTACAGGATAGTTCTTTCTCCTGCGTTAGCGAAGAGAACACTTGAGCTTTCTTCTTCCTGGGTCCCCACCTTTGGGTTAACCCAGCCATAGGCGCCGGTAGTAATAAATCACCTTCATTTTTTTCATGAGGTGGAGTTCTGCGCCCCCTGCACCTGGGCGACCCCGGCCGGACCTCTCCCGGTCTCCCATGGCTGTTTCTAAAAATACAGTTTCTTTTCAGGTGTCCTGGCCTCCTGCAAAACCAGCACCTTCTTGTTGGACAGCTTGCCGCAAAGTGGCCCGCCCGACCACATGTCCAACATTTTGCTCTTTCCCTTTTTAACTGGGTTGGCCTTTTGTCTATCCTCGGGGGAACCCGTCCTCTATTCAAGCGGTTCGCCCACCCACTGGTCCAAGTTTTTATTTCTCTCCTTTTTAACTGGGCCACCCTCCTCTTAATTCTGGGGTGGCCCGCTGGCTTTTCTTGGGCTCGGCCTTCTTTGTTAATATTGGTGGGGCACCCTTCCTCAGCCCGCACCACTTAGCCAGGTGTCCTTTCTTACCACACCTGGTGCACCTGTCACGATCGAAGTCTGGGGGCAACCCCACTTCGTCGGACATTCCGCCGCCCTGTGGTCCTCGTACCCACAGGTCCAGCAGACCAGCCCGTATCGACCCGGCGTGGGCTTATAAAAGCCATGCCTGGTCGACCATGCCCTTCTATTGGGGTCCTCCTCCCATAATTCTGCCCGATCCACCTCTTCCTTAACCCTCTGATTCCAAACGGGGTTCTTCCGCCTACCCCCTTCTTCCAGCCTCCTGACTTGGTATCTGCTTCTTCCCACACCTCTTCACTTTATCCCACACCCCTGGCTCTCCCTGGCCAGCTCTATCGCTGCCGACAGTCTGAGCGGTCCTTCTTTCAATACGTCGTGACGAACACGCTCGTCGCTCAGCGCCTCTACATACAGGTCCGCCAGTTGAGCCTGCATAACCGCATTATCCCCTGACCACTTCGGGGAATGCCAACGACGATAGCTTTCCCCGCTCGGGCCCCTAATTCTCCTGGGGTTTCATCCCGTAGCTGTGTCAGTTTTAAAAGGGCCCTCATGGCCTCTATGGCCGTACCTTCATCGGCGAATTCTTTGGTCAGCAGTCTTTTATTTCTTCCCAAGACAAGCGGGGTTGATTTTCCAAGAGCCCCTCACGAACTCAGACGCTTTTCCCCTTTGTGGCATCGTATGCCAAATACAGGGTTTCTTGGTCCGAAAGCTCGTAGATGGTTCGGCTCTTCTCGAGGATTGCCAGCCAGTTTTAAACTCCTTCCCGCTGCCATCAAATACTGGGACCCTCGGTCCACCCAACAGCTTCCTTAAATCCACTGACAACCCCCGCCCTACTTCCTCTTCACCCCCCCACTGCTCTATCCGAATCATAGTCAGACATGTCTACAGAGAAAGACAGTCTATGCAGCAACAATCGAGGTTGGGAAATAAAATAAGGTGTCCTACCTTACAGACGATTCTGTTCTTTCTTTTCCTTTGGTCCCGGGTCGTTCTGAGTTCTGTCTGAATTTTCAACGCAACGGCGGTCGATCGTGGTCTTCTCAGGGTTGAAATCCCTCGGTCACTGCACCACGTGTGACGTGGCTGTCTCAGGGTTGATCCGTTGGTCACGGCACCACATGTGACGGTTACACACCTGGCCCAGGGTCGAATCCCTTGGTTACGGCGCCAACTGTGACGTCGCTCCTCCTCCTGGTCGCTCCTCCTGGTTCCAAGCGTGCCGCTCCAACCCCTTGGTTGGATGATCACCAGCCTCGCCTTTCCCAACTCGCTTCCAATACCTGGTTACTGAAAACAACTGTACTGATCTCCGGTCTGTCTACCCACGCTGTGTTTAGATCTTGAACAGACGGGACCAGCAGGGATTGGGGCCGATACAAGTTGAGTCCGACGGGGTGGCAAAACACAAATAAAAGAAAAAAAACTCACGAGACAAAAAATTACTGATAAAAAAAAAGGGTGACAACCTTTTATATCTAATGTCCGTTACATAAAAACAAAATTGTTCTCAATTCCCGACCCGCTCTGTGGACTATGGCACCAAGCTTCTATCACACAACCTAAAGATTTCGAATTGCCTACTCTTTAGAATTGTGTATGTCGGAGTGTGGTTTAGTTCGACACTGGGGCTAATTTCTATCGATCATTCGCAGTTGATTCTTCTCTTCGACTTGAGTTGTATTTCTTCTTCTTCGTCGACTAAGATAGAACTTCTCTTGTCTTCGACTTGGCTGCAACTTCTCTTGTCTTCGACTTGGCTGCAACTTCTCTTGTCTTCGACTTGGCTGCAACTTTTCTGCGGCTTTCGAGTAATCTTCTTCTTCGTCTGCTTGGGCTGGAAGTTCTCTTGTCTTCGACTTGGGCTGGAAGGATTTCTTGCCGCAACTCAGCCGCAACTCTCTGTCGTCCGAGGTCTCTTCTCGCTGCCGTCCGGGGCTGAACTTCTTCTTGTCTTCGACTTGGGCTGGAAGGATTTCTTGTCTGAGGATTCTTTTGCCCGCAAAGGGGCGAGTGAATCGGGCCCGATGCCCGCGTTCAGGCTCTTTCCCTGCCCGCGGTCCAGCTGCAACTCCACTCCAACTGATTTCTGTCGACTGGGGTCCTGCCTTCACCGACGCCGCAACAAACCGGGGCGGGCCCGTCGGCGCCAGGGGCCTCTCAACAACCCCAATAGCTGCCTTATTTCTGTCTTCTCATTATCGCTATTGTTTTCATCCCTACTTCCTCACAGTGCCCTTGGTGGGGAGGCGCACACCCATCCTTCCCGGTCCCTCGTATGTCAGGTGACCGCTCTCGACCAATGATTCCTGATCGAGCACTTCTTTCTCTTCTTTCCGCAGATCACGTGACCGTTTCCGACCAATGGTTCTTGATCGAGCATCCTTTCTTTCTTTCCGCATATCACGTGACCGCTTTCGGCTAATGAGATTGTGGTTGGGCGTGGTTTACATCGTTCTTGTTTTAAAAAAAAACAAAATCTAATTTTGCCTTTTTTTTTGCGTACGAAAAATGACAATCTTGGCTTTTTTCTCACCTGGGCTCTGTCAAAACAGCCCGCCGCTAATTAGATGTGACTTCAGGGAAGAATATTGGCGCTATCTGTGAACTGAGACAATCGTTTTTTTTTACCTCTTGTTTTTTGTCAGACCCGACAGTCAGAAAATCTTAATTATCTACATTGAAAATGTCCCCACTTTGTTATCATGGGTTTCCAATTCTTAATAGGTCAGAATCTGTATATAGTTCCACCGGTCACTCCCCCAACCCAAAAGACACTTTTTCTCCGATTAAAAAAATTTCGTTTCTATTGTTCTAAAATTTCCCTTTCTCCAATTTGATTTCGTTTTCATTGTTCTTTTTCCTTTACTCCAAATTGATAATGAGTCTTTCTACGCAAAAGTCGGTCAATTGCCAAAACACTGTCATCATCAAGCGCACCGACATTCTTATCAAAATGACTTTCCTTTCTAAATAATATTTCTTTTCATTGTCTCTCGAAAATCGGCCAAGATGTTGACCTAAATATCTTTCTGATACGTGTTTTTTGTAATGACCATTTTTGCATTTCATCCACCTCTCTTTCCCTTCTTTCTTCTTCCCTTCTTTCCTTTTTCTCTTCTTTCCTCTTCTCCCCTTAGGATCGTCTAAGTACAATCTTAGTGAATTATTTTCAACTCAATTATTTTCCGTTAAAAAAAAAAAAATCAACAACCTGTTTAGTAAACCGAGTAAAAAAAAATTAAATCATATTTCTATGAATATTTCTAATAATGCAAGGTGCCACAAAGGATTAGATGTAAAACGCAAAAAGTATACTTGTTTTTTTTTTAATTTTTGTTGGCTTTAAGATTTTAGCCAGCAAACCAAATGAAAATAAAGAAAGAAAGAAAACATTATGAAAGAAATAGATAGATAGATAATATGTAGATAGATTAGATGAAGTAGATAGATAGATAGATAGATAGATAGATAGATGCATCTGAACAGACTGAGATAGAGAGATAGATAGATGAAACATACTGAGATAGATAGATAGATAGATAGATAGATAGATAATAGATATCACACATACTGAGATAGATAGATACATAGATAGATAGATAGATAGATATGAACAATAACTTTGAAGGGTAGACAGACAAATAGATAGATAGATAATAGATAGATAGATGAATATGAACATACTGAGATAGATAGATGATAGATAGAATTTAGATATGATAGATACATATTTAATAGATATATAATTGATAGATTGATAGATAGATAGATAGATATTCCAGATAGATATCTCACATACTGAGATAGATAGATTTGATAGATAGATAGATATGATACAGATGGATATAGACAGACAAATAGATAGATAGATAGATAGATAGGCAGATAGATAGATAAATAGATATAAACATACTGAGATAGATAGATATTTATGAAACTTACTGAGATAGATAGATAGATAGATAGATAGATCATCACATACTGAGATAGATAGATAAATAATAGATAGATAGATAGAATGAATATGAACATACTGATGTTAGATAGATAAATAGATAGATAGATAGATAATAGATAATTTATGAGATAGATAGATAGATATGAACAGACTAAGATCGATAGATAGATAGATATATATGAACAGACTGAGATAGATAGATAGATAGATAGATAGATAGATAGATAGATAGATAGATAGATATGTTTTTCTCGACCTGGTCCGTATCGTTAACTCTTTGGCCATTTCAACTGTTGCATGGACGATGAGCAACTAAAATAGTGGTTAAATGGAACTTTTTTTAAGCGATATAAGATTTTGAGCATTAAATTTATTTAAATTGTTTACTTTTCGTTAACCCTTGCAACGATAGCCCTAATCATAAAACTCTGGTGATGTCGTCCCTCTAATGAGTCTATTGTGAACTCTTCCACCTACTATAAAGTTAATAGGAAAATTAATCCTCGGGGGAATCAGTGATATATACTGAACACTGGTCAACCAACACACTCCCAAGTCGTGTTACAATGTTCTGTTGTATTCACTGTTCAATACACGATTCATCTGCAACCTCTTGTTTTGTTATTTCTTAACCATTACCTGGTCACAAAACTATCCTTGACCATAAGGTTACATTATCTATATATAGTTTTTCCGTCTCTTCTTTAATAAGCAGGTAGCAGCAGTTCGCTTTGTTTGTATCTCCCTTTGTTATCTCCCTTTGCTATCTCCCTTTGTTATATCCCTTTTTATCTCCCTTTGTTATCTCCCTTTGTTATTTCATACCGTCAGTTTATCAACCAATCACACATTTTTACCAAATAATTTTGCTTTTGAATGTTTACTATACAGGTGGGTGGTAGAAAAAGTTTCCACGTGAAAGTGGGTATTGACTCAAAAATGGCTGGGAACCCCAGGGTTAGATAGAGAACGCCCTCATATGTTTAATGTCTGCTTTAATAAAATGAAAAATCTTGTCAATTTGAAATATTTTAATTTGTACCCTCTTATTTCCTTAAAGTGTGATGTGTGATTGTTATGGCAATATCTGATTAAAGTTCTCAAGCTGAAATATCTAAAGGCGCAAGAGAGGAATGCACACGTGTATCTTATACTGATGGAACTCGCAAAGAACTTCTCCAATCATTAATTTAAAAATTATGATTTATCAAAAAATTCAAATAGGGTAACGTGAAAATGTTTCACGTGTGTTTGAGTAAATTTAAACTGAAATAGGAGCAATATGTGCTGTAAAATATGAAAATCAATGTTTGCGTGTTTATCCCGAAGTAATAGTGAAAATTAATTCAATATTAAAAAGTCCGTTGCCGATACGTGTCTGTAAGTTGGAAAATCTCGTCAAATAAGTGCAATTTTATCTTTTATATTTGCCATCATGCGTCTTATATTTTGACAAACATAGCGGGTCTTGCTTAAGGGAAATAATTAATTTGAATATTCAGCTTTAAAAATAAGAATATAAATATAAATAACTCCAGTTTCTCCTTCATTTCCAATCTGCTCTTTTCGTGATTTTTATTAATAAAATTCTATTGTTTTATTGACGGATTCTATAATTGAATTCTATATGAACGACCAAAGATATTGGAAAAAAAAACAACACAAAATCAACTTTGAGTGGGCTGATTTCGGAAACACAATGAAATGATAATCCTAGCTGTTTCGGTATAAGGAAATACTGAACGAAATTCTGGTAATACTGTTAGTTGAAGTTTACTAAAATTTTGTTTTAAAACAATATTTCCGAAAAATAAATTTGTCAGGTTAAGTAGCTGTTTTCGCTCGTTTCTGTATTGATACCGTTTTTCTTCCAAAAAATGTTTTCGAGGTATTTTGGAAATATTAACCTATTATGTCATTACTTTCTCTACGAGTTGCATTTGCTATCGATTTTCATTATTGCTGCGGTTGAAATTCATCAAGTGAAATGCTTTTTTGTTTTTGTTATTTGATGCCGTAAATTTTTGTGATTATGTACCGCCACTACACTATGTTCTAAGAAAGATGATCTTCGGCAAGACAAACAGGCTTCACTCGCTCAAACGATTTTAAATCATTGATATGAGAAAGCGGTTCATTATTTACATTATTCGGACTATTGTCCACATCTTTGTTGCAATATTTATTACAAAGTTTCTGTCGTTATACGCTCCGGCCTTCTTCAGGACATGGCCCAGTGTATAAAGGCGTTATTTAGATCCAGTGAGAGGACCCAAAAAGTGTGAGTTCAATACCCGGTTAAGGCAGTGGAGAACTTTCAGAGGGGAAATTAAGAGGAGAAAACTGATAACTGACATCCATTGAAAACATGGCACGACATTCCAACCACCTAAAGAAGGCCGGAGCGTACAACGGCCGAAACGTTGTAATAAATATGGCAACCAAGATGAGGACCATAGTCCAAATAATGTAAATAGTGTACATAATACCTCATCTCAGAAATATAGACAGATACTGAAGGACCGAAACTTTGTAATAAATATGATGGCAAAGATGAAGGCAATAGTCCGAATAATGTAAATAGTTTACATAATACCTCATCTCAGAAATATAGCTAGATACTGAAAGGCCGAAACGTTGTAATAAATATGGTGACAAAGATGAGGACAATAGTCCGAGTAATATAAATAGTGTACATAATACCTCATCACAGAAATATATACAGATACTGAAAGGCCGAAACGATGAAACAAATATGGCGACAAAGATGAGGACAATAGTCTGAATAATGTAAATAATGTACACAATACCTCATCTCAGAAATATAGACAGATAACTTTTGTTCTATGTTTTAATTAACAGAATATACTATTTATATTGCTCGGACAGTTTTCCTCCTCGCTATCGTGACATTCACAGCGTTTCGGTCGTTGTACACTCCGGATTTCTTCGGGTGATATTTCTTTCTATTTCGAACCGAACCCAGAACAGACAATCGCTATGTTGCTGTTTCTGAAGATTGGTTCGATGAAGTTTGTGTAGACGTTCTTCCCATCTTTATCTCCTGGAATGTGCTGACAGATAATCTTTACATTCCTGGGTCGAGCGGTAATGTCATTGAGAGCCTGTCACCACTAGCAAATATCGTTACAGGAATTTGCAAACAAACTGTAGGAAGAAGAATTTGGATTTTTCCAGCCCATTTCAAGAACGTCTGCACAAACGTTATTGAACCAATCATCAGAAACACCAACATACAGTTTGATTATTATGCGTTCGGTTCAACATTCAAACATTACCTGTAGAACGGCCTAATCGTTGCGAATGTGACAACAAAGATGACGACAACAGCCCGAACAATGAAAATAGTGGAAATAGTTACGATACCTCATCTCAGAAATATAGAAACATCTTGAAGAATGCCGAAGCGTACAACGGCCGAAACGTCGTGAATATTACACTAAACATGAGTACAACAGTTCGAAAAATGTAAATAGGTTAAATGGTCACAGTCTTTCATCTTAGAAATATAGACAGTTCCTGAAGAAACCGGGAGCGTACAACGTTCGAAACGTCGTGAATATGGCAATAACGATGCGGACAACAATCCGAACAATGTAAATAAAGTAAACAGTCACAGTATTTAATCTCAGTATTATTGACAATTTCTGAAGAAGCTCAGAACGTGCAACGGCCGAAACGTCATGAATATGACACTAAAGATGCGTACAACACTCAGAACAATGCAAATGTATCACAAGGTCGCTCTTATCACAAGGTCGGTAATAACAGTTTAGAGCAATACTTAAATCTCTAAAAGAAATAAAACACTTCCTAAAACAGGGTAGCAAAAGTAATATAGATTTGCCCCACTGAATGATGGGTATCATAGCTAGTTTGTCATAAGAAGAAAAGGGAACATAATGGAGGTACTGATTAATAGACGTCAATGTAACATTGTTACGTTTTCTGGATATTTCTAGAATTGGTGACTGGCTTCAAAATTCTAATGTCGTGAGAAGGGAGAAAGTTACACCAATTTTGAATTTCCTGAGATATTTTGGGGCTTAAAAGAGAAGGTAAACTGGCAAGTCAGATGTTGCAAATCCTTAGAATTTGCACCATTTTGTTTTCGACATTTTTCAAAACTGTCTTGCGGAAAACAAAACAGCTTCTGTATCACACTCTTACCTGTTAACGCTGATATATTATTCTGCTTTCGTTAAAATTAACTCCTCCTGTTTTGCTTCTTCCAAACCCAATGTCAGTGATAAATGTGTTCACTGAATCCTTTAGAGGTGGGGTCTGCTTTCAGTGTCCCACTAAAATATAGCCTGTAGTTTTAACTTTCGTCGTTAAAAAAATACGAAAATCAACAAGTATAAACCAGTTTTAAACAAGAAATAATTTGTGTTATCCTCAGTAGGATGTAAAAAGAAACCTACAACATGTATCTTCATTTACTCAATTTATAAGATACATCTGATTACATAAAGTGACGACAGAGTAGAACTGATACAATAATGCCGGTTGTATTTCAGCTTCGATTAAATTTGAGCTTTAATATATGTCATGTAATGCGGTGACATTTACTGAAACCCCATGTTCAAATCACTTCTGACTCACTGTTTTATAGAAGGTTCAAAGATTATATTTAATGGGATGAACATTTATTTCACTGTATGTTCCATAACAAAATACAGTAGAGCATTTCAGCCTTTTCGAAATAAACTAATTCAAATTATACACTGTTTTTTTTTACATATTTATACAGGCAGGCATATCCAGCTAGTCGATCAGAAAAAAGCGTTCAATTATAATGGAGCAACATCAGCATCATCTTTAGATGTAACAGAATCTTCAATTACTTTCATTAAAAAAAAACATTTTGAATTAATGCAGTTACTGATATAACAGAAGTCGTATGTATCTATTCAATCGAAGTTAGCTGAGGACATGAAGGGATAAAACAGGCAACATGAAGACCCACTTCAGACCACAGTTATTTTGGAGTTTTTGAAATTCACTTTGTTAGTATGCTATCAGGGATTTAAAAGACGATAAATCTATAAAACAATTGCTAAATTTGATGAAAATTGGTTGAAATATCAACGAAAAATAAGAAAGAAACCAGTAAAAATAGCCAATTTTTCTTTTGTCGCGGTTTTTCGTTAAACGCAGTGGCGTAAAAATAAAAATGAAGTATCGCTGAGCTCATCATGATATAAGTAACCTAGAAACCGTGTTTGAGAGAAATCGGACGAAAAAGGAGGAATTTATCGATTTTTGATCAGCTTTATCGATTACTGATTTTTTAAATGTATCGATTATTACGCGAAGTCCTTATGTTTTACACTGTGCAATGTATGTGCCAATTGTGGTCAAAATCGGTTAGATGGATCTCGAGTGAAAGGGTAACAACCGCAACATAGACAGACATACATATACATCCTATGGTTTATATATAGAGAATTTTTTTTATAGATACAAATATTTAAGTAAATGCTCTGTTTATAATAAACAGTATTAAATAACATTTACCAGCCTGAATGTCCGAGAAATTTTCATAGAAAATATTCGTCCTCCGACAGGAATCGGACCTTTATCCTATACGGAACCGTCAATTAGCCTGACGGGCCTTTAACCGATTTGGCCACAGAGGAGCGTTCGGTTAGCAAGGTCGATTTTACTGTCTTTAAATCTTCCATTATTCTCTCACATGCATTCATATCTGCTCATGGCATATCCAAATGTAAACAAATGATGTCACACATTATGAAATGGACAAAGTCTGATAATTATTTTAAGACATTTTTATGTTTATACATTCTTTTTATAGATACAAATATTTAAGTAAATGTTCTGCTTACATTGAACAGTATTAAACAACATTTACCGTCCGGCTGGAAGATTGTAGTTTAAAGACAATACAATCGGCATTGCTCACCGAACTCTCTGCTGTGGCCGAATCGGTTAAGGCACATGAAGCGGGATGACGGTGCCGTATAGGATACAGGTGCGATTCCTGTCGGAGGACGAATATTTTCTATGAACATTTCTCGGACATTCAGGCCGGTAAATTTTGATAAAGCTGCCTTTCGATGTGATTTCGAAGAATACTGCTGAAGAATTACTTAAATGGAATAATGTTGGAATTCTCTTTGACTATTCAGGAGCGTCGGTAGATCTGTAGACATGTAGATTTCGACAAATCACATAAAATATGCTGCCTGAGATCGATAATGTTGAATACGTAAACGCGGTGAGACGAATGTAAAGTTTCAACGCTTTATCTTATGAGGCGATCATTAGTTGCGATTATAATGCCGTCGCCAAAGGAACAATGTTATTCTGCTATTTGTTATCAATAATAATGACGCGATTTGCATTGGTTCTCTTTTCCTATTAAACAGTTTACTGTACCTGGTTACAATCAAAAGCCAAAGAAATACAATTTTTTGTAATACTTTGCTAGTCTATTTTAACTGAATATGCTGTACGCGTGATCTTATATTTTCTTCTGATGAAGAAGCGGATCAAAAAACAGTATTATTTCCTCTGATGTCATTAGAGGTGACAAAAAGACAAGCAGTTAACAAGGTTTTCAATTATATCTAAAAAGTAAAACTACACGAAAACAAAACTTGACATGTAAAAAGATATTTAGCTAAAAATCTCTTCATTAAATCAAATATTTAATTCCCTGGTCGGTGTTATATAAATGGGAGTAGAAGTTTTTAGTCTGCTTAAAGGGCTTCGAAAACATTCGCTTTAGGTAGACATTAAAATGAACATACCTCGGTTGTCAGAATGACAATAAAGAATCTTGCTTATATGCATGGGTTAGGGTTAGGTTTAGTTGCCTAATTTATTACAATTTCACGATTTTCATATTCTAATATACTGATGAATGTTAATTCTAATGATTAATGATTTTATCCAGTCTAGCTCCTGGTGAGTTCTACGAACATAAAATATCCGTAGAAATCTCCCTGTCGTCTGATTAATATTTGAGCTTATGAAGTTTAACAAAATATTGTATTAAAAATCCTGAAAATATTTTAAATTGACAACTGAAACAGACATTAAACACTTCTATCTTCCTTCTTTCTTTCTTTCTTTCTTTCTGAAGCCAATTACCGTTTTTGATATGTCTTTCGACGTAATCAAAATGGAATAGTCCATTATAATGGTATTGTTAACAAATTTACTTGGTAAGAAAATTCCCTTGCATAGTGAATATAATCGACACATTTCTGTGTTTTAACATGATTCTTTATTGCGGTATATTTATTTAAATTCGCAACCCTTGATATTTGATAAATCACAGGCTTCAATGTGGTTGAACAATTTACATTTGCAAAGGATATGGGGTGAACATTGGCTACCCCTCCCTTGTATAGGTTAGTTTAGGTCCGTTTTGTTTTAGTTAGTTTTTCTTCTTTTTTTTCATGTTAACTTAGCTAGGGTGTGTATGCTCATTGGCCCCTTTTTTTCTGGCCCTATTTTTTTCTTTTTGTTTAATTCCGCATCCCTCCCATCGTTAGGTGGTTAGGGGTATCAGTTCTCTGGTCGCCTTTTGTTTCGAGTATGTCTTTCGTATTTGTTGTTGTGTCCGATTGAGTGTGTGTTTGTAGTGAGTGCATGGATGGTATGAATGTTTTATATTATCTTTTTAAGTCCCGCATTGTTTTCGTCCAGTTAACTGATGTCTCTGCCACAGTTAGGGCTGTGGAGGTTTATACTACTAACAATATTTTTGTTTAGTTTCTTGTATATAGTTTTGTATTCATTGTAAATATTCATTGGGGTTTTTTAGATTGTTATTTTATTCCCCTCCCCCCACAGACACATGTATTGTATATATGGGGACTAGTTAGAACTTCATAGAGACTCTGAGGCATTTTGGTGGATGTAGTAAAGAATGGTATGTAATGGATGTGTTGTTTTGGTGAAAGGAACATTGTTTGTATCCATCCCCCTTTCCCCATATCGGCCTTGTGCCACATTTGTACTTTGTGCAATAAATAATTTTACATTTGCAAAGGATATAAGAATAATCAAGAGACCAAAGTGAAATCAAAGCGCCATGAATTCAGTAAAAAAGACAAAAATAGAAAAGGGCGAAATACTATGTCTTCTCAATGGACGTATTCCACCTATCCATTGAGGCGATTCTAAGAGAATTAGAATCAATTCACTT